GGCTAGCATCATAACCACTTTTGTAAGCTCGGACAATTGAGCTTCAATTTGAGGAGTTTGGACCTCTTTTACACCTCGAGGTGCATCTGTGTACCATTCTTCATCATGGCTTGAATGTTTAGAATCTTTAGCCAAGTTCTTGATTAGGTTGCGGATTTCGGTTGGAGTATTATCGGGTAAAGATCTGCCACTTGAAGTATTAAGAAGCCTTCTTTCCATTGGAGTCACGCCTTGAATGAAGTATTGGAGGAGTTGGTACTCGGTAATTCCATGCTTAGGACAACAGGCACATAGTTTCTTGAATCTCTCCCAATATGCATTGAAAGCTTCTCGTTTATGTTGCTTGATTCCAATGATTTCCCTCCGTAGGGCTGAAGCTTTCATCTCGGGAAAGTATTTATCCAAAAAGAGGCGGGCAAGATCTACCCAAGTAGTAACCATCCCCGGTGGGAGGTCATAGAGCCAATCTTTAGCTGCATCTTGCACTGCGAAGGGGAATGCCCTAAGCTTGATTTGATCATCTATGACATTGTGTGGTTTCATGCCCACACACACAACATGGAATTCTGTCAGAAACTTGTGGGATCTTCAGTTTCCAAACCTTTAAAGGTAGGTAGTAGGTGGATGAGTCTGAATTTAAGTTCAAGATTTAAGGCTACCGGATATGTGATGCAAAGAGGTTGTTGAGTAACCTTTTGCCTCGACCATTGACAGAGAGTTTGATCGGGTGATGGGTTTGGAGGTGGATTCCCTCCATGGTTATCTCCTATGGTGTGAGTAGTGGTTGAAGTTTTTGTGGGTGTAGTGTTTGGGATATTATACGTAGGTGAAGATGGTGGAGTGGTATTTTTGGGTGAGGATGGTTGAGATGAGAGTGATAGGCTTTCTGTTTTGGATGCAGACACACTTGAGAGACGTATGTCCTCCCAATAAATAAATGGGTAAAAATAACTCCTTAAACACTACTACTTTGTAATAAAAATGTAATACAAGGTAAGTAGGATTGATCCTCAGAGACACGAGATAAGTGCTTATACCCTTTTTGCGTAAGGTACAAATGAGATCACAAAGGGAGGGGGGAGGTGTTAGATACAATGATTCAAATAAAGGACTAAAGTAATAAATAACAATTGATTAAGTAAAATAAATTCAAGATTTGTAAGTACTCCAACTCTATGCAAGAGTAATTAGCAATGTGATTCAAAATATGAAATGATATTTGTTTAATTCCATCTAAGTTGGTATTAGAAATGCTAATAAGCTCTAGAAATTCACATTCACCATTGTAATTAATTAAAATAAGCTCTTTAACTAATTCTAATCTAACTAACCTAATCTAAACAAGTTCTTAGAATAGGTGGAAAGATTGCATTATGCTTTGTGTGAATTTTACCAACAACATTCAATACTTCTCATAAGCTTGGAAGCGTTAGAATGTGTGAATTTGATTTGTACTAGAATCATTGCAAATAATATGATTTAATACTTGTTACTTGTTCTATTTTACAAAACAATTACGAATTTTGTATAATAGATACCGTTAGTGATTTAACCCTAACTCAATTGGTCAAAAAGAACTAGAATTCAAATCAAACCTTCAATTAAAACAAAATCAAATTCACTAGATAGCATTTAAAACAAACACCAAGTCAAATGATTGAATTCACACACACAATTGTCAATACATGAAGTTGGAGAGTTAAGTTTCTAGCCACTCCTGACTAGAACAAACACAAACCTAGAATTTGAAGTTAAAGTCTTACAAATTAAAATCCAAGTGAAATCCAAATGTTTTCAAGCAACAATTGTCTTCAAAATGCTCCCAAAATCGCCTCCTAGAACTCAACAAATCGACCCCCTTCTTCCAGAACCGTTTGCATAATTTTAGAAAGGAGAAACTTATTTAAACTGACGACCTCGTTTACACGGTCCGTGTAAACTAACACTAACAATTTACACGGCCGTGTAAACACAAAAAGTATATTGCTCAATTTGGCCAGGTCTTCGAAGTACACTGCTCATGAGTATGCATTTACACGGCCCGTGTAAACACAAGGCTTGCATTTACATGGCCGTGTAAATCTCTGTAAAGCTAAAATCTTCATTTTCTTGATATCTTCCTCCTCGATGCTCCACAAGTCCCGAAACTTCATCCATATCTATTATTCATCACCTCAACTAAGATCCTACTTCCAAAAGTCCCTGAAATATCAGAAAAGCGGATGAATGGAATTGCATCATGAAAAATCCCGAAAAATATGCAACATGCATGAGTTTAAACCTAAATGCAATGCACTTTTATGGAGTAAGACTACAAAATGGATGCATTAAATGCATCTAACAATGAGTAATATGACATTAAGTTCATTAACTTCATTTTCTTTAAAGGAAAATAAAATAAGTTTACATGTTTAAAATGTTTGTGTTTCAAAAATAATAATGTATCGTGTTTTTTATAATAATAAATAAATTTAAATAAAAAATAACGATAAATATTGAAAATAATACCACATAAAAATTAATAGATAAAACGATGTTCGTATATTAAATATTTTTAGAAAAAAATAGAAAACGAAAATATTCAATCATGTATTATAGTTTAAATAAAATTTAAATAACAAAATCTGTTTATATTGTAAATAAAATATATTTGTAATATTTAATAAATAATAAAAAGGTAAAAAAACTAACATATAAAAAATTAAGAAAAAAAAACTTAAAAATCAAATGGTCGTTAGGTAAAGTTTCACACATGGTCTTTAGGTGAAATTTTACAAATGATCATTAGACGGTTCAATAAATGGTTCTTAAGTGAAGTTTTACAAAATATCTTAATTGACATTTATCCATAATTTCATGCACAAAAAATGTTTCATAAAAACTCTTTTGAGGACAAAATCAAAACAATAAGCATCGTTTATGAAGTTTTGTGTATATTTTATTACTAGATTAAATCTCGCGAATCACAAGTTAAAAAAAATTATTTATAAATTTAAATGTAAATGAAAAATAAAAGATGGAATAATTTAAAAATTGCATGATATACGTCTTTGTGTATAAGTTTGTAATGATTTGTTCAATTGAATATATAAACTTTTGTGGATATCCGATATATGTTTCGTATGTGTAGAGATTTGTTAAGCTTATAAATTTATACAATGCATTAAACATATAATTGCCTATATGTAAAAATAAAATCTTTAAGAAACAAACCAACATTTATAAAGAATGACTTTGACCCTTGTTAATTGTCATTATTACAAAACGTACGACTAATAAAAATATCTTCATAGAAACTAATATACTTTTGAAACTAAATTAATATAACGCATTAAACTAATAGCTATACACAAAAAGTTTCTCATCAATATATATATATATATATATATATATATATATATATATATATATATATATATATATATATATATATATATATCATAATCGATCTTAATGTATTTACTTACCAAAAAAAAGTTACTTTTATGTTTACGAATCAATAACCTAACAATCACAATCGTAGCTTTTAATAAGAACTTCTTTATATTGGGACATGTTCGGTTACGAATCAATAACCTAACGATCACAATCGTAGTTTTCAATAAGAACTCATTTATATTAGGATATGTTCGGTTGTTATTTTATTTGTAGATTAGCCAAATACCTCAACTACTTTGTGGAAAATAGCTAAAAAAACCCAAATTACAAAATTAGCCCTTAAAATCACAGATAGATTAAGCCCATCTGCAATTTTGTATTTTCACATGCGAACGTACAAGTGCCTAAAGCACATATGTGCTTTAGGAACTTGTACGTTTGCAGATGGAACAATCCATCTGTGATTTTGTACATTCCATTTACGATTTCGTAGCTATTTTGTATAAAAATATTTTTTTCCCTATCTTTTTTAGAGAAACTCTCTCTTATATATAAGTTGATAATTCTATTCTATTTTGTGCAACTGTTGGTTGGACTTAGACTTTACTTGATGCATGTTTAATTAGATTGTACATTTTATTTCTATTATGGACAATACCACTTAAAGTGAATGCAACTCACTTTCTTTTTTTCTTCAAATTACAATTAAAAGCTAATAAATTATTATTAGCTATGGTATTTATAACATTTTCAACCAACAAAAAATAATAGAACTAGATTAAAAATTAGTAAAAAACGAGTGAGGTCGATCGACAAGCTATAACTCATCTGGGATGGGACTGAAAACAATATTTTGTGGCAATGATTGTTGCTCATCACAACTATTTGGATGCTTGCAATTACAAACAAACTTATATTTTTCTTTTTCTACACGATAAAGATAAAAATAAAAACAATAATATATCTTTTAACTAATTTTCCAAAGTAATAACAACAAAAATGATAATTTTTTGCACTAGTTTATATATAATAAAATTGTTTCGTAGTCAAACCCTATTAATTTCGTAATTAAAAAAAACAAAAAAAATTACTAAAACGCAGATGAATAGAGAGGAAATCACAGATGGACGTACAAAAAAAAAAAAAAAAAAAAAAAAAAAAAAAAAAAAAACCTGCAAACTTACAAGTGGTTAAAACACGTCTATGTTTTAGCCATTTGTACATTCGCAGATAGATTATACCCATCTACGATTTTAAAGGCTAAAAATACAATTTTGGTTTTTATTTTTTTATTATTATTATTATTATTATTATTATTTTTTGCTATTTTGCAAAAATTAATTAACGCATTTGGCTAAATTTGTAATTTTATTTTTTATTTTTATAAGCACATAAAAGTTGAAAACAAAATATAATTTTTATAAGTTTTTAATTATAAATTTATAATATATATACATAACCATAAGTTTAAAACATATGGTATTAATTTTTTCACTAAATAATAATTTGTTGGAGCTTTGTAGATGAGTCACAACAAAGGTGCCCAAATAAAGAAGGAACTTAATTAAATTTAAAACTCTAAAACAACCGTTTTAATTACTTTTTTAAACCAATTAAACATACAAAAATATCACCAATTTTAATATTTATTTATTTTTTCAAAATTTATGCTGCAGATAATAAAACAAAAATCCAATAACGTTCTTCTAATCGATTTCAAATTCTTTTTCCCTTTTAAATTCTCTACTTTCCTCTCTCTTTCAGGTTGAGAATCACTTGTTCTTCTCTATCACACACACCGACTTCATAGGAGAGATTTGCCGACTTTTATCCATTCAATACATACACACGCATCTCCACGATCTCTCTTTTTCTTCTTGAAGAAACCCCCAGTAAAAATCGCAGTTCGATCCCCCTCTTTTCGCCTCTTCTCAACCGCCATTTTTGCCCCTTACAAGTTATATCTTCACTATCTCTATTCAATCGATTCTAGTTTTCCCTGAAGAAAAAACCCCACATCGAGATTTATATTCCGAAACAAACATCACCCATAAGATCTGATTTGTGTTCAATCGAGATTCGAGGACTCCCGGCTGTTTTCTCACTCGCTTTGAAAATCAAATAATGTCAGGGGTGAGAACTGCCGTTTGGGTATTGTTCACGGGCCTGATTTTTATTAGGGCTGAAGTTGAAGGTCTGGGTGTGAACTGGGGGACGATGGCGACGCATAAGATGGATCCGAAAACGGTGGTTCAGATGATGAAAGACAACGGGATTACTAAAGTGAAGCTGTTTGACGCCGAGCAATCGACGATGAGTGCTCTCGCCGGCTCCGGCATCGAAGTTATGATTGCTATTCCGAACGATCAGCTCCTCGCCATGAACGATTACAGCCGAGCTAAGAAATTCGTGCAGCGTAACGTCACGCGTTACAACTTCAACGGCGGTGTGAATATCAAGTAAGTTCCTATTCAATTCCATGTTGTACTTCATGCTTTACTTGTTGTACTCTGCATTATATGATGTTCTTTCTTTGAGCTTATAAAAACGTAAAATCTTGTTTTTCCAATACTAAAATTACTAAATCTAGATCAATGAAGCTGTTTCAGCTTGTAAGTTATGCATATGAAGCTGTACATTGTATCCGTTGTAGAAAAACCCGTGCTTTGGATAGTTGTACTCTGTTTTGGTTTTTGTATAATCCTAAACCGCGTGACCTTTACAGTAGTGAACGTGTGCTTTTTAGATGCTATACAGTATGCATTATTTGTTGTACTGCATGCATCGGGAGTTGTACGTTGTAGGCCATTGAGATATTTTATGTGTGAAACATGTGGTTGTTTTTTGTTGTCGAAGTAATTTCCAAAAATTATGGATCTTTACTTGTACTATAATTTTATTATTTTCATATATTTAATTTTATTAAAATTTATTTGCAATAATTCAGAAATCATAAATTCAAATTATTTAAATAAGTTTGATAGGGTTTTAGGGTTTGACAAAATGTTTTCTTCATCGTTAATGGCAGATACGTCGCCGTCGGCAACGAGCCATTTTTGACGGCATACAACGGTTCGAATCTGAAAACAACGTTCCCGGCGTTGCAGAATATCCAAAACGCCCTGAACGAAGCCGGCCATGGCGACACCGTAAAAGCCACCGTACCCTCAAACGCCGATGTCTACGGTTCTCCGACCGACAACCCGGTCCCTTCCGCCGGTAGGTTCCGACCAGACATCAACGACCAAATGGTCCAACTCGTCCAATTTCTAGCCAAAAACAACGCTCCTTTCACCGTCAACATCTACCCTTTCCTCAGCCTCTACGGCAACGACGATTTTCCGGTGGACTATGCGTTCTTCGACGGCGCAAGCCAGCCAATCGTCGACAACGGGATTCAGTACACCAACGTGTTTGACGCGAACTACGACACCTTAGTTTCCGCTTTAAAAGCAGCAGGCTTTGGTGACATGCCGATCATCGTCGGAGAAGTAGGGTGGCCCACCGACGGCGACAAAAACGCGAACATAAACATGGCGTATCGTTTCTACAACGGTCTTCTCCCCCGTCTCGCCTCCAACAAAGGTACTCCACTCCGTCCCGGCGGAATTGAAGTTTACCTTTTTGGGCTCATCGACGAGGACGCTAAAAGCATAGCTCCGGGAAGCTTCGAACGTCACTGGGGGATTTTCCGGTACGACGGACAACCGAAGTTCGCCATGGACATCTCCGGCAGAGGTCAGAACTCGTTTCTAGTTCCGGCGCAAAACGTGAGGTATCAAGAGAAACGATGGTGTCAATTCAACCCAGATGCTAAGGATTTGAGCAAATTGGGGGAAAATATCAATTACGCTTGTACTTTTGCTGATTGTACTCCACTTGGGTATGGATCATCGTGTAATGGGTTGGATGCAAATGCGAATGCGTCGTATGCATTTAATGCGTATTTTCAGGTGCAAAATCAAGATGAAATGGCGTGTAATTTTCAAGGTTTGGCTATGGTGACGACGCTTAATATATCAACAGAGACTTGCAGGTTTAATATTCAGATAGTGGGGACTTATTCTGATGCTTCTCGATCTTCTGTTTATCTTTTTGTTTACTCGATTGTTTTTGTTTTATTGTTGTTGTAGTTTTGATTTTTGATGTAGATACATAAATTATTGTCATTTTGAGAGTGTGATTTTACGAATTGATGATACATTTATGGATTCTTATAGTTTTTAGTTTTTACATCTATTATAGTGTTTGATTGTGTCATCATGTTGTATTTTGATGATTCAAGTAATAATATGTTTCGAAGAGACGTATAGAAACTTTTCAAATATTGATATTGACATCGTCTTCTCATTAAGAGCAAACTTTCCTAAAATAGGTTTTTATGGGGCTATTTTTGAAGGCATAATTTCTGGATCTTTGTCCCAAATTTTGAGGGCAAGTGTTGGTGATGAAGGGAAGTAGAAGTTTTTATATGAAGAGTCACTTGACAAGTTACATACATAACTCGAGGACACTTTTTGGCCCTTCATTCAATGACCTATTTTGCTAATTTCTATTGTTATTGTTTCAATCCCAAATTCTAGATACGTATGTTTCTTATACTCTTGTAGAGTCTTGCTAGCTAAAAATATTGTTTTGTGTGGAGAAGGAATGGAAAGATTTTGGAATATGGTGAATGTTTTGTTTGTAGGTGCAATTGTGTTGAGCCTTTTTGCTTCAAATGTTGAAGGGTTGGGTGTGAATTGGGGTACAAAAGCTTACCACCAATTACCACCCGAAAAAGTGGTTCAAATGTTGAAAGATAATGAAATTGAGAAGGTGAAGTTGTTCGATGCCGATGAAAACGTACTAAACACCTTCGCGGAAACAAATATTGAGGTTATGGTGGCTGTCAAGAATTCTGAACTCGAGGAATTGACCAATAAGACCAAAGCCAAGCATTGGGTCAAGGACAATGTTGTCAAACACATCGATCATAATGTCAAAATAACGTATGCTTTTATTTCTTGAACATGTTTACTATTCGGTATATGAAAATATATTATCTTGAATCCGTGTTTATAAGATCAAATCCTAGGTTTTTATGTTCCAGGATAGAGGACCATAAGATATATGTGGGTTCGTGTATGAGCCCTTATGGAGAATTATAGACTCCAACATACATAGACATTTATAGAATCGTACCACATCAATGTTGGATACACTAACAAAGACAAGAGTTTTGTCCCTCGAATGAATATCTTGATTTCAAGCATTGTAAAAATAATAATTTATTGTTTATAATAATGTAGGATGGTAGCGGTTGGTAACGAACCATTCCGAGAGGATTATGAGAATATGTATATCAACTCAACACTTCTGGCCCTAGAGAATATTCAAAGAGCTCTTGATAAGTTGAGCTTAGGAGACAGGATCAAGGCCTCAGTTCCATTCAATGAGGATATTTATATGACCCCACCATGGAAGCCATTTCCATCTGCAGGGATTTTTCGTCCTGAAATTTCCGATCAAGTTGAAGATATAGCCGATTTCCTAGCTAAGCATAATGCTCCATTTATTGTCAATATTTACCCATTTACGAGTGTTGCCTTGTCAGATGACAGTTATCCAAGCGATTTTGCTTTTTTTGACGGTAACGTTGGTATCACAGATGATAACATCGACTACACTAATGTGTTCGATGCGAGTTATGACACTTGTGTGTCAGCTCTAAAACAAGCCGGTCATGAGAACATGACTATTATAGTTGGGGAGATAGGTTGGCCCACAGATGGAAACATATTGGCCAACAAAACCCTGGCTTCAAGATTTTATAAAGGGCTTTTACCACGATTAGCTGCTAAAGAAGGGACGCCTTTGCGTCCTGGGCACATTGAAGTGTACCTTTTCGAACTGCTTGACGAAGATGCAAAAAGCATACTTCCAGGGAACTTCGAGCGACATTGGGGTATCTTTGACTATGCAGGTCAACCGAAGTTCAATATGAGCTTAAATGGAAAAGACGAAAACAAAACGTTGATAGGAGTCAAAGACGTCGAATATCAATCTAAAAAGTGGTGTGTTTTGAAGGCACAAAAGTCTTTGGACAAACACAAACTCCATGAGAGTTTGTTGTATGCTTGTGACAATGCTGATTGTAGTGCCTTCGCTGAAGGTGGATCTTGTAGTGGTCTTAGTAGTCCTGATAAAACATCTTACGCCTTGAATGCTTATTTTCAAGCATCAAACCAATCAAAAGATAGTTGTGATTTTGGAGGTTTGGCTACAGAAGTTGAGATTGATCCTTCTAAAGGTTATTGCAAGTTCAATATTCAGATTGTGCCTTATGATCCTAAAGATTCATGGACAAGATTCAAATCATGGTTCTCATCGTCACACATCACCCGTGCACCACCGGTTGCTTTCACAAGTTTGGCCCTTTTGGCTATGGTTTCCTTGTTTTTCTTTTAGAGTTTGAACGATTTATTTATTGATTTATTACACGAGCAAAATAAACAAGATAATAATTGTAATGTTTTTCGGCTTGATTAATCTTTAGGTCCTTATATTTATTATTTCATAAAATAATGTAGACAAGTTTAATCGATGTCTATGTAATTTTGTTTTGTTTTGGATAAAATAATGTAGACAAGTTTAATCAATGTCTATGTAATTTTGTTTCTTTAGGGATGATTTTATTATGGTGTATGATTTATTTCCGAGAGATTGTATGTACGTGTCCATTTTTTTCATATTTGTTTGCATTTGAAATCATATTAATAAATCATATTAGTTAATATTAAATCGGTTACAAGTTAAACTAAAACACAACTCATCCTTAAACACTAGACCTATCTCTGTTCATTCTATATGGTGGCATTTGGATTGTTGGGTTATTTTTGTAGGATTTAAAAATTATCAATAAATTTGGAAATTGAAAGATTTAAAATATCTAATGTGCTGAATATCAACTATAATAAATGAAAATTCATTTTGCCACATATCAATCTCTCATGAGTTTTGACACGTTTTTTTGTGATATTATTTGTGATATTATTGAAATAAATAATATTCACATGTCAATTCTTAGTTTTTCAAATTTTAAAATTAAAAAGCCACATAATATTTATATATGTAAAATATTAAATATCATAAATATGATATTAAATTGTAATTAATACATTTCTTTATTTTTTATTTTAAAATATATTTTTTATTTACACTGTAATATTTAATTTCTTTTTTAATCAACTCATTTAATACACGAGTTTTACACCTAGTACCACATAAATCAATCACTTCTAAATTCTATTAAGATCCCTTTTCGTCTTTACTACTTTGATTCAATATGCAAATTTAAAATGTAATTTACTAACTAATAATCATCCTAATTTGGAAAGTTAACGAAGGTTAAATGATAACTATGTTAAACCCTAAATCTTCGGGAAGCTAGTGTAGTTTTATATTGGTACATACCATTGAATTCAATGAGTGGTGTAGTTCCGATTTTGCTTCAGAATAGGCCAAATAATATACAAAAAATGAATGAGTTGCAAAATTCTCCAAACAATAACAAAAGGTAATTATGTATACATATATACTTTTAACTAACTTGTTCATTTTAAGTTTCACACGAAGTTATCTTACATTATTAAAATAATCTAAAATGGAGTCTGATCGATATAAACAACAATGTATTATGTTCTATAAATTTCAAGTTTTGAATGGAATAGATCATATCACAACCCTATTTCATTTTATTTAACAAAAATATATATTATACATAATCTATATTATATATGGAATCTTAATTTTGTGTGGGTGACCCACTCTTATATTGGATACATCCCTCATTATTCAATTAAAAAAAAAAGTGAAAATGTAGTCGATCGTTAGTAAGCCATGAGAAATAAACTCAGCACAATCTTTGATCCATTGTTGTCAAAGAAACCATAAAAAATATATATATAAATAAATAAAAACCGATGCCACCATTATAGTAGTTAAATAAATGCACCATAACAGAAACCACCAAACTATTGCCTAAAACACAAATTCATGTGTTGGTGATACCATATCTATCGACAATGATATCCAGTGAAAACCATTGTATCACCAAACACATGTATAAAACCGTAGGAAAAAAAGTGGTTTGTTAATATGCCAAAATAATGTCACAGTAACAATTATTGAATGGTTTATGGTTGATCTTTTGAAACGTGTCGTCTAGTTTTTTTTTTTCATCAACTGGTCGTCTTGAAATTTCTTTAAAACCAATATTGAGAATGTGTTATTTTTACAAACATTATAAAAATGGTAATAGAAAACTTAAATATCTTATAGTTTTTGTTCGAAAACATATGTACTATCTACTATAAATCGGGTTATTCACTACAAAAGACATCATATATTATATATTGTATAATATTGTTGTCATGTGTCTAAAAGTGTTAAATATAAAGGAAATTCATTAAACTAACCATTATAAATAAGTTATTTAAAGAAAAATAATATTTTTTATTTTCAGTTTTTGAAAAATGATTATTTCTTCTGAATATCTCATTTTGGATTATTCTTCAAATTTTGGATTTTTTTTTTCTTTTTTGCTATTTTTTTAAAGAAAATGTATATATTAATGTTTGAAATGTTTGTTTTGAAATATATAATATTATTGTTTTTTCATTAAAAATGTTTGATTTTATGTCCTAACATCATGTATAGTTTTCATTATTATGCTTGTTTTAATTTTTGTTAGATTTTAGTAAAAACAAACTTTTTTCTTAAAAATTCTGGAATTTTTCATCGGATTTTGGCATTGTTCTTGAAATTTCTATGTTTTTTTATTTGAACTCCGAAATATTAATCTAGTATCTAAAATATATCTTTGAAATGTACTTTTTTATCAAAAAAAATATTTTGATCGGTCTAGAATACCCCATTTCGGAATTGATGCTTATTTTGCCAAAAAAATAAAAATATTTTCTTTCAAAATACACATTGTGGTTAGTTTAATGAATTTCCTTAAACATAAATCATGATTCTCGTCTAAAAAGTTTGTTGAGGGACCAGCAAAAAATTTAAACACTGCGACTAAAACTTCAGGGTTGTTTGTTTTTTGTCTGCAGGTCTGCGTAATCATTTTTGTCTGCGCCTCGCAGACATAACCCCTTACAGACTTTTTCTTTTTGGAAGTGCACAGACCTAAAAACGTATGCGCGAAGTCTTCTTGGCACAGACATGGCCCAATGTCTTTTAACATCTTCACAACTCAAAAAAAAAAAACATTGAATACGTTCTTTTCTCATAACGCCTCCATATCTCCTCACCATCCATCATTCCACCACCGATCGTTCTCCCCCTTCCGACCGACCACCATAATCACTGTCCACCATACACACCAGAATATCGACGATGCTTGCCTCCTCCTCTGTCCACTATCGGCTTCATCCATAAGTACGAGAATCTGTTCTTCCCTAAAATCAGATGTCAGGTTCTTTCAACATCTAATCTGATTGAATAATAATCACGTGATTTTGGGCATGTGGAATCCTTCTAATTTTGTTTTTTGCTCATCTGAATTGCTTGGTTTGGGTGTATGAAATCCTTCTAATAATCAGGTTCATATAGAGGTGGTGATTTAATATTGCACACCAAGTGTTTGATAAAAGTCCTCAAAGAAATCAAAAGTTTTATTGTATCAAGAACAGGGGCTGCTGCATCTTTAACACATCCTAGTGTTTGCAAAAACCCCAAGCAATGTATATATAAGTGTATAAAGAACAGAATACCACTTTTGAAATTATTTGTAGATTATTTATTTCAACTAAAGTTCTTTGTGAAAGCAAAAATAAGAACCCCCTTTTGAATCAAGTTGTGGTGTTTGTGTCAGGTTACATGTCAATGACAATGATAACAAATGAGTTCAAAACACATAAAATGATTATCAAGATTGCCCAATGCTCAAGCAAGAAACTAGACTTTATTAATGATGATCAAATGACCTATTGTGCTAAATGTTGTAGTTGCATCTCAGAGAAGAAGATCAAGAGGATGGATTTTTAAAAATCTTTCATTGTAAAAATATTGATATTATATCATTTTGTTTGTTGTAGTTTTTTGTTATTATATATTATAAATATTGTTTATATGTGATTTGTTTGTTGTAGCATTTTCTTATCTATTATGATGAAATAATTATTAGATGTTGTAAAACTCAAATAAAATGTTGTAAAATTAGTATATTTAAATTCAGTTTATTTTTCAGTAGTCTGCAGACGTTAAACAAGAAAAAAAAAAAAAAATTATTACAGATTGTAGACGTTTAATCCACCTCTTGGGATTTGCAGTACAGACATCGTTCGCAAACTATTTTCAGAAAACAAACAACAGCCTTCATGATTTCACCTTAAATGCTTAACAACTCCTTAAAGTTTTAAGTATATACAAAATTCACCCAATTGAAACGACAACGTCTCATTTGTTTCCCCTAATTTTTCTTTTTTGCCTCCCTCCTCGCGAAATCACTCCTAATTTCAAACTCTGTAAACCCTAGCGAAAAATTACGCGCGCTCAGATCTTGAAACTATGGCGATCGCAAGGACTGGAGTTTTCGTCGACGATTACTTGGAGTGTAAGCTTTCTTTTTCTATGATTTATTTATTGAATTCAAATTGTAAACTTTTGTTCTGATTTCGCTAGTTTTTTATGCTGAATTTTGTAATAGACGCAAGCACATTGCCAGCAGAGTTACAGAGGCTTCTCAACACCATAAGAGAACTCGATGAACGTTCTCAATGTACATTTCTGTCTTCTGATCCAATGATACACACTAACACAACGCTAATTATGCACCATATACATGTGTTTGTGAGACGATAGGAAATGAGGACACTAGCAATGATACACACTAGCAATTGACATAACATCGATTTGAAAACTTAATCTTATGCAAAAATTCAAGAAAACATAGATCAATTGATATTTGTGATGCTGATGTGGTCATAGTCTGTGTATTTTAACATGGTTCTCAATTTCAAAAACAATCTGAAAAGCCTACCTTCTTTGAAAAAGCAAAGGATTAGCAAATAGCAATTGTGAATGTAGTTAATCAAGGGTGTCTTATCTGTGTTATAGCCATGATTAATCAAACAAGACAACAGACAAAGAACTGCTTGGACATGGCTTCTCAAAACACCCACAAAAGCCTTCATGAAGACACTGACATGGCTTTTGAGAAGATGAAGAAAGAAATTGAAGCAAATCAAGATAATGCTTTAAGCCTATGTACTGAAAAGGTTCTTCTTGCAAGACAAGCTTACGATCTTGTAAGTTTCACTTTCTTCTCTTTCCTTCTTCCATTCAACATCTCACATTTCAACATTTCTATATCAAAAATTGTTCTTTTCAACATTCAGATAGACAGTCATGTCAAACGTCTTGATGAAGATCTACACAACTTTGCTGAGGATTTA